GTGTGTGTGTGTGTGTGTGTGTGTGTGTGTGTGTGTGTGTGTGTGTGCACGCCCATTCAGAAACAATATGTTCCACCTCCTCCTTCATTCTTTCAGAGTTTCTGTGGGGATGGAGATGCATTTCTGTGCGGAGGGCTGCACAGCTGTGATCGACACCGGCTCCTCCTACATCACAGGCCCGGCCTCCTCGGTGTCGGCGCTGATGAAAGCCATCGGAGCACAGCTGGATGAAAGCGGAGTAATTCTTCACACACGCAATTTTGTTTCCCACAAAAACATTTGTCTGTCAAAAAAAAAAAAAGACACAAAAAAAAAGAAAAGATTAACGACCCTTCTGATCTGTGTTGTTCCTCAGTACAAAGTCAACTGTGACTCTGTCAAGGCGTTGCCCAGCGTCACTTTCCACCTGGGTGGCCAGGAATACTCCCTCACTCATGAGGATTACATCTTATGGGTAAGCAGGTGCATGAATACTGAATCATTTCTATAAAAACACAGTTACTCAAGAGCTGTATACACAATTCTATGAACTCATTAATCTTGCTTTATCTATCTACTCCACTTCGTTTCAGGTGGGAATATACTGTAGCTACGTATGCATTTATCTCACAGCTGCAGATACTTTGTTATTAAATTGAAAAAAAAAAAACACATCAACTTGTAAAATATGTTTTAACAGGCTACCACAGATGTGCTGGGATTTATGTGGGATTACGTCCTGACGAGAGGATATCATGTATGACACATTTTGCTGATAAAACTTTTGTAGGTTTTTGAATGCAGGAGTATTACTTGCAACGGATCGCAGTGTTGCTTCTTTGACTTGTGCAGAAAGCTCTGAGTGCTTCTTCGACCACGTGCTGTTTTAGTGGCTCATGATGAAACTATCTTCATTTTTTTCTTTGTGGCTCCAGCAATCCCAGATCGAAGGGGACGTCTGCATCGTCACCTTCAGGGGCTTGGATGTGCCGCCCCCTACAGGTCCCATCTGGATTTTGGGAGCCAACTTCATTGCCCGCTACTACACAGAGTTCGACCGCCGCAATAATCGGATAGGGTTTGCCACAGCAGTCTGACGGGAAGTCACACCCGCCATGTTTTCTGTTTCTCTATCCGTGCTGCCACCTGCTCTTTCCCCGTGCCCTCCTCTCCATGACAAGCCGTGACCGGACCACATCTGTTTTGTTAAAATGTTCAACAAGGGTGCACATTAAAGATCATCATCCTCCCATTTCTTGCAAATCCTGCTTTCTAAAATGTTGTACCAGTTGCACTGAACACCTTCTTACCTTTTTTTGTTTATTATTATTATTTATAAGCATTTTCCAGCAAATGTGTGTTTGTGACCGCTGATAATTATCTACATCCACAGTGGAAATCCAAATCGTGCTGACGTAACAAGAATAAACTTGTTTACTAGGGTTTAGATTTGACTCGAGCCGGACTTCATTAATGACTGCATTGTTTTTCATGAATGGCTTTTGCGAGCCACATGAAAGTCAAGTTGAAAACAGATTTTCTGCCACATATTAAATCAGCCACGCCGGAGCCGCCACGGAAATGTTTGTCATTGTTTGTGTAAATGTCGTGCATATGCATTACTGTATTTAGCAAAAGACGGTAAAACCATTAGAAACACATTCGCCTGATGTGTCAGTCAAGTGTGCTGCACAGTGTGATGTGGAACCTCTATGCGGTGGGACTATCTTTAGTAACAAACGGTTGTAGTAGGAGTGAGTGCCAGATATATATTGTCACAGTTCAACAAAATCATCCCTCTTCTAGTTTGTGCAGCTTGTGTTCCCTGACAATAAACTATTGTCTTCTTAACATTTATTTTCATCTTTATCACGTAGGAATCCTGTTTTTAGTATCAGAGTAAACTTGGCCCTTCAGGGGGATTTTATTACTGACTCGACAAAGACAGTTAGTTCTGCTTACTTAGCAGACCGAAGAGACACAAAGATAACGAAACAATAAAACCACACTAATTCATCACATGCCCCTGTCAGATGTCTTTTTGTCTCATTTTCTCCGAAATGGTCGGGAAAGTCCTCTCGATTGCCGCGGTGATGCGCCGGTGAGAGCGCTTCCTTGCTCTCACATCCATGAATTGTCTGCTTGAGATTTCATCTGTTGACAGTAAGCAGCGAGGTGGGGCTGAATATCTATGTGCTGGCATTTAATCAGGAGTACATTCAAACCACTAAAAAAACCTCTCTCCCATATCTCAACAGGGCTATTGGTGCTGGAAACAAACCAGAACAACCATCACGTTTCACAACATATTATATACATTACGGCTGCCAAAGACTTGGTGGATAAATAAAAACAATCTTCATGTTGGAACGGTTGCAACGGACTTCTTTCTGGAACAATTGCGTGTCTCTCTTGACAAGATCCTAATCTATCAATCGGCTGTTTAACATCTTTTCATTGTTACATGTTGTAACAATTGGTAGTATTTATGTAACCATCACCATTTCAGGGAATATCATTAATCATCTGTAAAGTTTCAAATTTTTTAAAAGGCAAAGTGGTGGCTTTGTTTCTCCTCATCTGTCTCAAATCATCAGAAGGCTAACCTGTCATACAATGCACATCACGTATCGAGATACATTTGTGTGCCAAGAGTTCCATGAGAACATTTTAACACTCTCGACATGAGCAACTTGTCTCATCTAACGTCTCATCTAACTCTTGGCAAGAAAGTGAATTAACCCAATTCCGGAAAGTATCAGTGTCAAAGTATCAATTAAAGTGAAGCGGTGGAGGCACAGAGGGCCCTAAATTTAAAACCTGATCACACACACATGATCCCGAAACACTCCACAGGACAGACTTCAAGAGAATAGGCTAATTTAAAAGTGGAAGAAGATCAAAACCACCAATGTGTTTTTCTGTTTCTCAAAACTGCCTGGCCTCCCTTTGGTGTCTGCATCACTTCCAAGCCTATTAATTCCCACCGAAGACGTAGGTACATAAAAATGGCTCACGCGTGGTTAATTTCCAAAGTAAGTTGTAAGTACAGCTGTCAGTTAAATTCAGCACTTAATAGCTCTTTATTAAAGTAGTTATTCTGAGGGATCATATGTGGATGAGTGTTATAGATGCAAATTGCCTCCAAGGGATAGTTTCTAAAACCAGAACAGATGTTATCAGCACCCAAGCTCCCACAAACGTGATTCGTCCAATTTTTCATTTGAATAATTCCCGAAGAGGAGGTGTTGTACAAAAAAACCTCCACTATCCAGTCAATCTGCTGCCCACAAACATCTCCTGAACCAGGACTGTGTATTTTGTCAAATAGCAGAGAGGTGGGAGGTCTTTAAAAAGGGCTGCATCTCAGTTTGAACTCACTCTCTGCAGGAGGAGCACATCGGGCAATGCCTTTAAGAACAGCACCACATGACAAAGTGTCCAATTTTCTTAACGGCGAGATTTCTTTCTGTGGAGCGGAACTGAAGATATGAAAAGGATCTCTTTGCTTCAATGTGTGTGACAGAGGAGTCTGGTGTTTTCCATTGTCAAACACGTACCAGATGACCGTCCTTGTGTCAACCCTGATTCAGAGCAAAGCTAAGGTAGGTGAGAACCTTTCTTTAATCACCGCCGCTCAAACAATACAGACAATGCAGGGAAAAGATTAGCGCATGCTTTTGTAAGTCAGTGTAGGATTAAGTCATTTTCTGACCTACATATAGACATTATTGGCAGCATGGAGAGAGCAAATCATGTGACAGGTGACATTTGTATCATGTGCTTGCATTTACAATCACATTAATACTTTTATTAGATTACATTAATTTGATTATCATCAATCATGGGGGTTCCCAATAGCAGTCGGAGGCTGGCTTGATAGTCTTTGAGCTCACACATAGCATCTCATTGTTTTAATCTTTTTTATCTTCTATGTTTTAAATGCCATTTTTACCAGATTATTGTTTTTAATCTGCTTTGATTGCTAAAACCAAGATGGAACACGTTTCTTTTCTTTCTTTACCTTCGGATCTCAATTCCATGCAGATTTTTGGCAAACTACTTTTTAATGTAAAAAATAAATAAATACATATATATATGAAATGTTATGTTTCTTAAATCAAAAAGCTTAACAAGAGTTAAAGGTTGCAGCTCAGCATTGTATTAGGAACAGACAAACTGAATATGAAAGGAATACTTCTGGTCTCTGGCGGCTTTTAAAGAATTCAGATGTTGATCAGGCAACGAATAAATCCTGTTTTATTGCTTTTTGTTTGATTCGATGCCGTCTGTCTCGACTGTTTGTTGCAGAGGCTGCAGCGAACTCACAGGTTGAGTGAGTCAATGGGTTGTTTTTGAAAAAAAGAATACCTTCCAGTGCAGTCATTTTGCCTGCAATTGGAGGAACATGTGCTCATCACCATGTTTCAATCTTCAATAGAAGGATTAAGTCCATCTGGACCCCATTTTTCTGTTACAACTGCCAAAAGGTGCTTGGTAGCAGGCATCATCAGGAAGAGTCTCAAAGGGTATGCCTCCGTGGTAGAGGGCACTGTTTGACCGTAACTGTGATTTATCTATGTTCCTCTGAGGTCACTCAATCATCAGTCACTGGTAGCGCTGCGTACTGCAGGAAATCCAAGAAGTCAAGAAGCATATTGTAGCACACAAATATTGGTCAGGGGTGGAAATAAATAGTTGTAACTGAAACAGAGCTGCTCATCTTGATTACTTTGGACGGAAAGGCAGAAACTGCTCGTATACATACTGTTTAACTATTCTGGCACAATCAGGAGGACATTCCATTTAAGTTTACATTGAACTTGGTTTGCCTCGTAAAAATAAGAAAAGGCTTTTTACGAAGACAAGATGATAACAATTAGAGAGGGAAAAGTGAATCACAGTGAGAGAAACTACCATGTGGAGCACATTCATATTGAAATGGTTAAGTTCAGGATGCCTGGTAAAGTTGGTGGTTGAGAGCATTCCTCATTTTTCTGTTTTAGCATGCAAAATCTACTTGAGTATGCTTGTCAAGGAAGAGTATATGTGAATGATTGCACTTTGCGGCTGAGTAAATAACCATGCGTGTGTCAGATGTAAAGATAATGAGTGGTGGACATGAAGGTAATGTGTGGTTGTGTTAGTTGCAGGTAAAGTGTCTGTGTGTACTTATGTTCCTGAGCTTCCCCCTGACTATGGCTGAGGTACCTGGTCCATGCAGACACTCCATCACAAGGGAGCACCTGCTGACAGTCAGGCATCTGGTAGGTGTTGAAATATTAGAAACACATTTGTTGAATCAACATCAGAATCAATGTGGCGATGCCGCTGCGTGACCTGGGCTGACACCCTCCACATTGTTGTTTCTACAGATGGACAACCAGTTGCGGAGCGGGTGCACGATAACCTACACATTCATAGAACGGAGAAGTTTGGTAAGGTAACTTTTGTGTTATGGGACTGTTTCCTTCCAAAGCCTTTGATTCAATTTCCAACTTTCCATTAACTCTATTATACGTTCAAGTTTATTACCTTGTGTTCTGTTTTTGCCACAGAGCAAGTGTTGCTTCGTGAAAGCTGCTTTACCCTGGATCCTGGAGCTCCTCACCACCCACTTCAAATACAGTCGGGGTTCAGTCAATGACGGCTACGTCCAGTCCCTGAGAGCGCTCATCCTCAACATCTACTCTCAGAAATGCGTGCCTCAGATAAATGAAGAGGTCGAGGTGAGTGCGTGTTTCTGGGTGCAGCCTGTAGCTCCAGACTGAAGGATTACATTTTCAATAATGAAAAACATGAAGAAGAAATATTTGATGTGAGGAATATGCCCAGCGCGAGAAGATAAATCTGCGATACTTGTGAAAAAATGTTAAGTATGTTCCTGGGAATCTGCCGCAGGATAAGCCAGAGAGTTTTGAGATACTCTACAGAGGGTCCACCTCAGAGGCGCTGCAGAGGGCCTCGGAGGTGCTGTCTGTTTACTGGGAGCTGGTGAAGATGAGCGATGCGCCGGTCGACTGGAGATGCCAGCAGGAATACACAGAAATCTTTGGCTCCACCACAGAGTATTACACAGAGTCACCCACTCAACACTTTACAGGTGGGAATCTCTTCTGCAAAAATGAATGACGCAGATATGCGGAGCCTCTGGGATCACAGCGTTAGTGTCTTTTTCTACAGGCAGTTATGGTAGGAGCTCGGCGAAGGCCTCGCAGAGAAGACCGGTCAGAGACCTGTACATCCTCGGCTTCATCCTGGTCTCCATCTGTGGAGGACTGCTACTGACACTCACTCTCTACTGTCTCATCACACAAAAGGTACAATCACTTCTGTTTAGTTGATTTCTACATGACATGTGCTCTAATAAAGTTAAACCATGCATTCCAGTCGCGTTGCACTCGAGCAGGCCTTGGCAGCCTGCCTGTACCCTCTGTGGCACTCCCTCTTGCAGAAGTACCAGCCCTCCCTCGCTGGTAAACACTGAGCACATTCAAATACGGTCTGGACGTAACTGGGAAGAGTAGAAGGGCTATTTTGCAGCAGCACATGCACAAAAGTCTCCGAATGCAAACGAGTGCACTGTTTTGGCACCGTCAGCTATCATCTGAAAATAATAACAAATCAAAGCGGTGGTTTTCAATTGACTAACATCATTTATTAATACAAACAATTGAGGCAACACAATGGTAAAGAAGCCTTGGACCCACTCATGAAAGGCCTTGCATTTGCAGTATTACGAACTGGGTGTCTGTGGCAACTTCCCCAGGAAAGAATCAGAGGCGGCGACGTTGGATTTCTCGGAAGTGAGATCCAAAAACATACCAGCAATCAGCGCTAATCGCTACAAAGGCAAAGCAAGTTTGTTTATCTAGCGTCTTATTTTACACAGAGATCATTCCAAGTGCTTTACGGCAATGAAGGAAAGAAAGGTAAAAGTATAGAATAACAAAAATGAAAGCACTGGACAGTTTTAAACCATCCATCCATCCATTGTCTTCCGTTTATCCGGGTTCGGGTCGCGCTGGCAGCAGGCCAAGCAGGCCAAGCAGGCTGACCCAGACTTCCCTCTCCCCCACAACATTTTCCAACTCTGGGAGATCTCGAGGCGTTCCAAGGCCAGCTGGAAGATATAATCCCTCCAGCGTGTTCTGGGTCTTCCCCGGGTCTCCTACCAGTCAGGCATGCCCGGAAAACCTCCAGTTTTAAACCAAATCACGATCCATTCACTCCGTTCCCCTTGCTTACACCTGGAACAATCATTACCATCCAATAGTTCTCATGCAATGGAAATGTTCACTGCTCCAGTAAATAGGACAGCCCTTAGATATGACTAGTTAGCCAGGCTCATAGAACCCTTTGGCCCAGCTGCGAGCCAGAAGCTAACGATACGCTAGCCAGATTCAAAGTCAATAACATTGACGATTGAGAAACAGTAATTATAAGTTGACTGTTTAACAACAAGGCAAGCTTTGTATCCAGCACTGTCATTGTGACCAAATCAATATTCATATGTTTTTATATAAGCAATGAGAGACCATGTGTACTGTCAGCCTGGAGGTGAGTAGCGATTGGAATGTGAGACGGTCGCTTATGGTCAGTAAGTCGGGCAGTGAAACTTACTTATTTTTCTTTCACTATAACATGTAGCCAGTGCATTCATTTAGAATAGTGAACAGTCAGTTTTACAGGAACCAGGTAGTAGTTTTCCATTATCAGGGAATTAATGGACACCCTGCAGCCAATCAGTATTGAGTATTCACCCAGACCATGATATAAATCTGCAATATATTTTGTGCCCAGAACATCGAGTGACTTAGAGACAAAAAGGTCTTAAAAACAATTCTATATTTAACTGGAAGCCAATGGGATCTAATAACTGGAGAAAAGTGTTCTCTTTTTGGTGTTTGTTAGTGTTCTAGCAGCAGCAATTGAATTAAATGTCTGGATGCTGTTATTGGGAGGCCAGTAATAAGTAATGATCTTTTCCAAACATTGCTTGCTTGTTTTTAAGATGCCAGAATGATGCCTTTGTTACAGCTTTAATGTGGCCACTAAAATGTTAATCGTCAACGATTACACAAAGGTTTTTCTTGTGCGTTAGTGTTTACCTTCGTTCCAGAAAAATAAAAACTAAGTGCCAGCCTTCCTTTTATATTGCCAAAGAGAATCTTTTAAATTTATATAGATTGTTTTTGCTAGATAGATCTGGATTTGTTTGTTGTTTTGTCCATTGTTTTTTACACGTTCATGCCATATTGTTATTTATTCTTTATGTGCATTTCTATTCTGAGAATTGTTAATAAAGACTGAAATAAAAACAAATAATACTTTAAGAACCCAATAAAGTAAATGCCCTAAAACAGCACCAGCTGCGCCTTGGGCTCTTATCAAGTTATTTAGTCAGAGCAGTGGTTTTCAATACATATTTGTCCTTCTTCATGGAGCCTGGGTAATAATAACATAATTCAATATTCAAACAAACTCCATTTCACCAAATGCTTATTTGCAGCAAGCAAGGCTTTTATGTCCAATTAAAAAGAGCTGAAGAAGACAATAAATCAAAAGCCCTGACACAGTATCAGCTGCAGTGTAGTACTGGTGAAAACTGTTTCTTGAATTATAACCTGCCATTTATTTACAAGGTGTTACACTCTGTGGTATGTTCCTTTAGCACCTACAGTGGGTACGGAAAGTATTCAGACCCCTTTAAATTTTTCACTCTTTGTTTCATTGCAGCCATTTGCTAAAATCAAAAAAGTTCATTTTATTTCTCATTAATGTACACTCAGCA